CTCCACTAAATGAAAAGTTATGGGCAAGGCAAAGTTTTTTGTGACGGAGGGACAGACTGGCGGACGGACAGACAAATAAGATTGAATGTCCCCTCGCTTTCACGAGTGTAATTTCAAAGTATTTACAGATATTACTAATTCACATCAGAATATTTTATTAACTAGAGGCATTGTGAGCAATGAGCTGACTAAATGAAATCACCGTCTTCCTTATGAATAAAATGGTAGTGTCTATGTTTTGCTACGGGAAACCCAAAATGTGTGTCGAATCAAAAAGTAAAATAGGAGGTTCACAATGGCAATGTGAGTCTCATTTAATTTCATTCAGTGGTATCAGAGGAGTTGCAGATTAGAGATGTGTACCCCAAAGCGTAACAGACGTACGAACATCTCGATTACTATTTACCATCCCGCTTTTCAAGAAGGGAGAGGGTATAAAAATGGCACCATAAAAACTTTTCAATAACGTAGAAGACCACATTCAGTACTGTGCTGAGGTTTGTGGGGGGTGTATGACTCCTCTCCAAAAAGGAAAAAAGTAAAGGTTTGAACTACGTAAAAATATATATTGAAAACTTTATAAGAAATAGGAAATATAAAAAAGGTTTAAGAGTAGTTAGACTACTTATTCGATAAAGTATATCTTTTGTAGACCAACACATACAAGCAAAAATTTTATTAATAAAAAATGTATCATAAATCTTGCAAAAGTCTTTATCTTTTCAACTTCTATTCTATATACAATTATGAATTTGTTTGCAAAAACAAATTATCATTAAGTCGAATTTTGACTGACACTTTTTCATTCAAATTGTTAGGCATTTGTTGAACAATGCTTTGTCTACGGAGATTTCCACCTGCCCTATAAGGACTGGTGTATAGCTCACCTGAGCTGAAAGTTCAAGTGAGCTTTTCTGATAACATTTTGTCCTGCGTCTGTCTGTCTGTAAACTTTTCAAATTTTCGACTTCTTTTCTAAAACCACTGGGCAAATTTCAACCAAACTTTGCACAAAGAATTCATGAGTGAAGGGGATTCAAGTTTGGTCAAATGAAAGGTCACACCCTTACTCAAAGGGAGATAATTCAGAAATAGTGAAAATTTGATGATATGTTTTAAAATGCCACTATGTCAGGAAAAATGAAACCTATCGGGAAGCATTCTTAGGTAGCGCAGATTCAAGTTTGTTCAAATCATGACTCCCGGGGGTAGGGCGCAGGGATGGGGTAATCGTAATCAGTAATCGTAATCAGCTGTAATCGATTACAGTTTGCCAAGTAATCATGAGTAATCAGTAATCACCTATTTTTCTGATTACAAGTAATCGTTATTTAATCGATTACTCTGAAAAAAGTCATGTAACCATGATTACTTTTTTGATTACTTTATGATTACAATTATTAAAATAAAGTTCATAAAATCATGATTTTTGATGATTTTCAGTGAATATTTTTCAGTTCACAAAATTGTTTATTAAAAAAAAGTTATTAAGCTATATTTAATTAAGTATCTTTTTCTATCGCCTCCAGAAATGCTTATAATCAGGTCCAAAGTCCACGCAATGAGTAAATTCTATCAGTTCCTTGCTATATTCAGTAGTCAGTTCAAAATACTTTAGCAGCTAGCTTAGCAATTCACTATTTTTGACAAGATATATGTACGAGGGCTGTTCGGAAATTATTGAGACAATTACATTAACTCCATAAAGGACGGAGATAATTTAATAAAAAAAACAATCAACATTTTATATAGAACGAATAAAACAATTGTGCAATCTTTCTTATTCCTATGATAATTACATTTCGGTCAAATAATAAACATGCATATGTTTATCGACCTGGAGCAGCATCGCTACGTCATTTTACCGTCACGTCAGTCGGAGATGTTTTCGCATGTAAAGTGATCAGGAAGTGTTTAATACGCTTCCTTCTTTGATATTATATATAAAGTTACAAATATGAAAAAGTATCTTTTCATAAATTATTCTTTAAAAATGTATGCTGTTACTACCCCAGTAAAGAATTTTAATTTTAGGGAAATTATGACTTAGAATCATGCAGTGCAGAATTAAGCAATGCGGGTTTCATACCGTAACAAAATTAATACCTTACGTAATAACTCATGGTCGTCCAGAGCTTTCAAATTTACTCTAGTCGAATTAATTGTGAACAAAATGTATACCAATGAAATAACAAACTTTAACACATTATTTTATTCTCGTTGTTATTGGTTTTGCAGGCCGTTCAGTCTGGTAAACAGTTCTACATTGTGCTACTCAAAATTTTAGGCATACCGGCTGCTCCGCCCTTGACGTCAAAATGAATTTAGTCGTTGTTAGCAGATTTCTCTACCACGCTTAATTTTTTTACGATCTCTGTATTTCTGATCAAAATTCTATCAAAGTTGCACAACATGTATTTAAAATAAAGCTGATATATTATACACCTAAACTGATTTAGTTTCGCTCTTATTATGGATCCACGAAGAGTTAGAACGTTGGTGTTGCATATTTTCAATATCTGATTTCGTGACTGCTCCGGATACCCCTACTATTAACGCATTTGTATATCATTGTAAAGGAAATATTTATTATTTGAAAAATATTTTTTGTTTTTATTAATTATAAGTGTATGTCAAACGTATATGCAAAATTCCACCGAAAGACGTTCATTAGAAAGCAAAATACACACAATGTCTCAATAATTTTCGAACAGCCCTCGTATATACTGATAGAAAACTACTACAGGATCATTTTAAAGTTTGATTTATTTTTGTTTCAATTAATGAACATGCATGGATTGAGTGTAATGCAACAATTCTTTTGCCCTGTAAATCTTTGGAAATTTTTTTTTAATAACAAAATTAATGTTCCTTTATTGAGGCGTATTCTAAAATTTACTTTGTTTAATTTACAGTGTACATAAAAAGATAATGTGATTTAATTAGTCATAAGACACGGGTATACTAAAGTTGGGTCAGCTTGGGTAATAGTAATTATTGAACTATTCATGCTTGTCCAGTCAATGTGTTAATTCTAGTAAAAACATCTACCAGGTAATAATTGGCAGTTAAATTAAAAAGTCCATCACTTGTCAAGATTGTCAATTACTTGCGTAACAGTTCCCTATCGAATCCCTTCATCTCTACCTATCATTATGTTCAGTTTGATTAATTAAAAAAACTATAATAAATTCTTTTTTCTAATTCTCTCAATAGTAACAAGATATATTTTCTTGTATTAAAGGTAGAAATCAGGTTATATAAGATAAATATCATGCATCTATATAAAGACAACAAAACTTTGTCTGAAGTCTACCTTAAAAATATTAATGATATTTAAAATAGGAAGAATAAAAACATGACGTTGTCCTTGAATATTAAACAAAAAAAAAACTTAATGTAATCTAAAGTAATCATAAGTAATCATGATTACATGAAGAAAAAGTAATCAAATGTAATTGATTACTTTTAAAAATGTCTGAAATCAGCCTGTAATCGATTACTTTTAAAATCCAAAGTTATTGTAATTTAATCGATTACTTTTGAAAGTAATCGACCCCATCCCTGGTAGGGCGTGGTCACAATGGTCGATCAAAGTTTTACATTTAAAAAATATATGAATTTTTTTTAATATTCTCTTCTCAAGAATAGCAAAGGCATAAATGATCAAATCTATATGAAAGCATCCTCATATATATAAACCTGTATATAAGAAAACTCTTTAAAAGTCTTCTTTTCAAGAATAAGAAAGGCATGAATGAGTAATTTGAAATGGAAGCATCCTCAGGTAGTGTAAATTCAAGTTTGTTCAAATTACGACTCCGGGGGGTTGGGTGGGTCCACAACAGGTAATCCAAGTTTTACATAGCAATATATATATATAATTCTTTAAAAAAATCTCTTTTCAAAAATGGAAAAGTTATGATTAGTCATATTCATATTAAAGCATTCTCAGGTAGTGTAGATTCAAGTTTGTTCAAATCATACCCTCTTACCTTTAAGGATTGGTTGGGACCACTTTTAAGTTTAAAATTTTTAATTATAAACTCGTTTCTGTTTTTTTCCTCACCAAGATGCACATTGTTTCATATCTGATGGCATCTGATCCCATCTCTGATGTTTCAACTGTCCACGTTTGTTCTGCCCCAAATGAATAATTCAATGGACTTCATTAATTTTGATTAATGTTCGTTATTGTCCTACATCGATGCAATGACACTGTTTTCAATTACTTAAGGTCGAATGTTGCCTGACACCTTTCATACAACTTGAAAGGTAATTAGTTTTACATTGAATTCTCTTCGATTATTTTTTGTTTCTTAGATCCGCATAAACAAAAATGGTGAAGATTACCAGTGTGATACTCAATCATAATATTTTGCCTAAAGAAATCTGTCTTTAGTTTGTATTTTAAAAGTCAAAATAATATGAAATGAAATTTTCATTTTTCATTGTTGACTTTCATGAAATTGAATAAATTCATGCATAAGTATTATTATATTAATTGAGGGGTTGATCCAGGATCTTGTATTAGAGGTGTCCTCAACCACCCAACCCTCTTAACATGTCAAAGACATACTCTGCAAATCACCCCGAGGTTCTGAGAATTAGAATAAAAATTGTTTTGATTCATAAATGACTGTCATTTAAGCTTTGCTATATCGATGCATGACAATAAAAACTAAATCTGAAATAATTTCTAAAAAGGGTGCCATCCAGGATCGCCCTTGCCTAAATCAGCGTCAGACAAGTATAATTTCATTTTAATTTGGTGTAGCTAAAAATATTGACTGTATCAGAACTATAGAACTATAGATGTACGGAATGCCATTTTTAAAAAAATCTTAATTTTGATTGAGACGTTTGTAAAACATTTCATACATTATAAATTATCTTACTAACTAAAATTAGGTGAATAGTGTTACATATATTATTGTTTGTTTTTGTTGTCTGCTTGCTACTTTGGGTACTTGACGAAATGTCTGAAATAAACATGCCATCTACATGTATCTTATTTTCTTCACTTTTCCACTGTTACACTCAGCCACGAAAAGGTTATCTCTGCTGTCCACACATAAACCCCATGGTCGATAAAGCTTACAGTTATCGATGAATTGGAGGAACTGCCCGTTTCCATCTAGGATGTGGATACAGTGGTTGTTATTGTTTGCTGTCAGGATCTGACTCTGGCTGTCTGTTGTGATGCGGACTGGATCAAACGATTTTTTGGATTTAGAGGGATGACCAGTGTATCTAAATCGGAGTTTACATGCCTGAGTAACCACCACTATTGAATTATCCCCACTATCAGCCACACATATGTCAAGATTTCTGTTCTCACATATGTATTTGTAGTAACCCGATGAAAACAGAGGTTTGCCTTCACTATCGAAGTGAATGGTTTGTTTCTCTCTAGTACCTGAGTAACGGACAACCTTAGATTTTTTATAAACATCACTGTTCATTGTAATCAGGAGATCACCAGAGGAGGAACAACAAACATAGTAAGGTATCCATTCTTTAAGTATGATCAATTCGTGTGTCTTTTTATTTTCCACGATGTTAACAGTTCTTTTATAAGGATCGGAATATATAAGATCTCCAGTTCTTGTAACTGCTATATTACAAGGCCAATCTTTTGACTTAGAGTGGATAGAGTGCAAAAGTTCCCCACAAAGGTTGTAAAGTCTCATGATACTGTCAACTCCCCTTGTCCAGATTTCTTCATCATTAAGACAGGAAACGCTTTTTAGTTCATGCCCAGTGCCTATGATGGTGATGAGCTCTGGTTCATCAAGCAGTGGTTTGACTGGAAGACAGGATACAGCTTCTGGTGTCTTCATTGTGTAGCCATGTTCTTCTGTTGTAATGGATAATGGTGATAAAGAACCAAACATTTCAGAAAGCTGTTCTGTGTTGATTTTTTGGGGAGAAAAACGTGGTTTTGGAACATTGACTTTAAGAGGAAATCCTTTTAATTCAGCAATAGTAGACTTGTATTCAAAAGTAAGAGAGACATCACTTGCAACTAGGATTTTCTTTAGATCAAGAATGCATTTTGTTAAATCACAAATTTTCTGCTTTATTTCATTTCCCTGTTCATCAAGAGAAGCCAGTTGTTTAGTTTTTATCTTATCAATTTCATACTTTTGCTTCTGGACGATGAGATTTATTTCTCTGTGTAAGTCTTCTCCTTGATTGCTGACGGCTGCTGTTAGTTGTTCGTAATGTCTTTCCAAACTTGCTTTCTCAGACTTAATATGTAATGCAATTTCTTTATAAGTAGGAAAAATTCTTTGTAATAGTTCATTCAAATCCTTTTTCAAATCTTTTGCTTTTGATTCGAGCTTCTGTAGAATATCAATAGCTTTATGGTCATGATGTTGACCCTGGGAAATGCAAAGGGAACAAACTGGAATGTCACAATTCTCACAAAATTGTTCACAATGTTTCCGTGAATGGTTTGTGCATTTGGGATACGTTTTATGCTTGTATGGTACAACACTGTGTCTTTTTGATGAATCAGAAAGATGCTTTTCAACACATACTACACATAGATTTACTTGACAAAGTTCACAGTGACTCTGTAATGCTGCTTTTTGACACAGGTCACAGAGCAGGATGTTTTGGGCACTGTAACGGGGGTCCATGATCAAGATTTGATCACTTCAGAATACACTGAAAATAAAATTCAAATTGATAGATATGAATTCTTAAATTATATGTTGTATCTACATTTTAATTCACTTAATATTACTGTAACAGTTACCTCAATAAAATTTAACATTAGAGTGACTGGGTTTTTTTTTCAGAAATGGCAAAGAAAATAAAGGAATCACTTTTAAATATTTTTTTAAGAATGAATATTTAATACATGTACATGTAGGTGATTAAAAATTTAATCTATTTATACACATTTTAAAAATATTGATTTCTAAAAAGATTTTTTTAAATCTAAAAGAAGAAAATTACCTGGATTTCAACATGGCTGTCGCTCAGTAATACTGTCTGTATACTAAATAATTATTTTCTAGTCTTCATTTCAGATCTTGTCTAGTCACGCATTTACGTCATAAATAACTGAAGTGGAACAGCTGCGACACTCACGGTAGGAAAAAAATGTTATCAATAAATCTAGAGTCTGGCTTTTCTTTATTCACCGTTACGTATTGCATTAAGTCACCGAAAATTAAAATTTTAGAAAAAAAATGAACTGCCACATAAACAGACCATCGATCACTGAGTACACCTTTTCCATAGATAACGAGAATATTGGACCAGGAATTTAACTAGGTTCGGTTTTTCTACATATGGAAGCAACAATGACGACAGCTGGTAGATAGTGTTAGCAATCTTTCAGAGTAGCTATGTGAATATACATGTATGATGGGACTTATAAACAATACACACAGACGTAAAAGTAGTCAGTGGTCCACCATTTAACGAGCTAGAATACAGAACATCTCTTCAATATTTCTTTAAAAGCCAATAATTCCATCATCCAGCACCTGTTATTATATATACTGCAAATAAACTATTGTTTAAACCGCCACGTTAACTGAAAAAAATACTGCTCAGACATCCCCGTTTGTTCCTATAAATATGCTGATAATTACTCTTAATCATGTAAAGGTTCTTAATCAAGCGGATGACTGTAATATATATAACGGTCATTAAAACATGTCGGCTGAACCGATCGGTTGAATTTTTTCATTCAAGATTTAAAACATTTGTTAGCATATCTGTATAAACTCCACTGAAAATTGAATATAAACCAATGAAAAATATGACCTCAAAGTTTTTGAGAATGATAACCGTAACAAATATTAAGATGACCGTCATTTATATATGTTTAATGAAGTGGGATGACCGTAATATGCCGATTTTAATTTGTTTTCTGTCCTGTTTAAGGCAGAAGTATGGAGTTGTAAATATCATTTTCAAACATAACCATTTGGTAACCTTATTTCTCAAACAAAACTTTCAATTTTTGAAATGTTCATTAAAAGGTTGTCAACTCCCCCTTTTTTGTTGCAACATCGCCAAATCTGGTTTTTGAGAATACGGGAAGACTGCACTTAAGGATATGGGATATTTAAGTCAAAACAAGCTTTCAAAACAGATATTTTTCTTTTAATTGCAGGTATGATCTAGTCTACCACTTTACTTAATTAAAATTAATAAATGTATGTATTTACGTTGTTAGAACCTCTTTTCAAAAGCAGGGGCCATCACAATTTCTTTAATATCCGTACGATAATGAGGACGCCTTGAAGTTCTATTTTACTGACTTTATACATAATCAGCGCATGTTTGTCTATTCTTCTATAGCTCCTTTTCAGAGAAGTCGTATATTTGCATTAGTAATGTTGTGTTAATAGACAAACATAGGCTCATGGTTTAAAAGATGAAAAACTGCTTCTTGTTACACTCGCTCGCTCGCTCTCTCTCTCTCTCTCTCTCTCTCTCTCTCTCTCTCTCTCTGTTGTGGTACGTTGAATATTATAATTCTCATTCATTATAATTATTAGACTCCCTTCCATATTTCTCTTTTAGATCTGGGATCAAGTCTTCTTTTCTATTTTTGTGTTCTAATATGCACTATATGTAATCGATTATTTTGTAACCCTTTTATTTCTATAAGCTGTTTTAAAATATATCGTTTACGACTGATCCTCTCTTTTTATTTATCAGTCGAAAACTATTTATTTAAAACGGTAGAGACAAAAGGGCTACATTATCGATAAAGTATAGTGCATATTAGAATACGAAAGTAAGTAAAAGGTGAACTGATCCCAGATTTAAAGAAAATGGAAAGAAGGGTGAATACCCCAAGTGTCAGTGGTAAATTTGTTAATACTAGACTCCGTCTGCAGGTGACTTATATGTAAAGTGCTTTGTATTGTGTTCGAACACGTTAAAAAGTCATCGACAGTTCAAAATATGCTTTACTTATAAAGTACATGGTTACATACGTTTTAAGTCTAGGTAGATAATATTATTATGCTATACAGAACATAAAGGAAGCTGGAAAATATAGATCTCATATCTTTAAATACATGATATTGCTATTTATCCATTCTAAGTTCAGATCCATTCTTACGATATTAGCTCCCCTCTCATACATGAATAATATTTAATCAAGGGCAGGTAACCGTAAATTACCTATATTTGGAAAGCCGTAAGAACAAAAACATTACAGTTATTGAAAATTTAAATTGGGTGTCTAATACCCGTAAACTTCAGAGTCTGGCTGACCTTAGTACAGACGATCTCAAACAGATATAGAGAAAATTATAAAATCGAAGCATAACGTATGAAATCTGAGAAAGTGGTAATTTTTAGTCATTTTGTTTATATGTCTTTTATTTATATTTATTTTTATATATGATGCATTTAATTGTTTTTTGGAGTAGAAGAGAAGCTCACATCTCATCAGAGACAGAAACTCGCTAAAACTCGCCTCACCAAAATCGTACACTACAAAGAGGAACAACTGTAGTACTTTGCTTGTATCCTTTATAAATGAAGCAAAATATTAGTATTTAAGCAATGTAAAAAATATTCTTGAAGTTGAAAGAAGTTTTTTTTAAACAAAAGTTTGGCAATTTCTGTACATTTTCGAACATGACGACATGCAGGATCATTAAAAAGCTAGACCAAGCATAAATCGTAGTCATCTGCCTTGACTGTGCTGCAGACATTTTGGAGAACTGTCTTTTTATGTTGTGGCGCCACCTGGAGTATTATCTCATTCACTGCATTCCTGTCAATCAGCAGACACCTAATTCTCTTTAGAGAAGTGGACAGGCTTTCGTGGATGTAGGCGAAAGCCTGTCCACTTCTTTAAATAAAATACATTTTTTTATCTCGGTGTGTTATGTACTTCTAGGTATTGATTTCTGATTAGTTAATCTTTAATTTTTCAGAAATTTGACAGGAATTTCCCATTCATTATTTGACGAATCTGATGCAGACTCTTTACCAGACGTAGACAAACAGCTTATGATGGGTGTGATCAGTGAAGATATAGAGACACTGAAGCAAACAACAAACTCTGCTATACAAAACTCACTTCTCAAAAAGATAGAAAATATTGACCAGGTAGTGGAATGACAGATAATGATTCCAAATACAGGGGAAGCCATGAGAAAAAAGATGTACAAAAAATGAAAGAAAAAAATTAGACCATACTTCTCCCACAGTCAACATTAAAAAAAAATTTGGTCCTCTCCAACCCCTCTTACAGCACAACCACCAACGTAGTTCATATTTCACCCAAAGAAAAGTGTTACAGCCAAACTGTTCCCCTGGTCCATCTTAAGATGTACTTCAAATACCTTCTTCCCAATCTCCACCTTTAAAATTGTTTATCTATATTCTTCAATGGTTCACGTTTAACTCTCTCCCACAGCCGTAATTTAATAGTGTTTCGTTCATCTTTTTACTCCAGCCTGCCTAAAAATTGGGTCAATGTTTTATGTGATTGGAAATTTGCTTATCGTATGGAACATTGTAATTACCAGATGTTATTCCGCGATAGAGTACAACTTGATCCAGATGGCATTTTATAACATTGAATACTTGAAAATGAGAAATACAATGTACTTTTATTGAGCAATGCTTAACACCCATTCTCAATATAAGGGCTCAAATGATGTCGCCTCATTTTCATTTAAAAGAAATACCACTGATGTAATTTTTAAATCAACATTATAAATAGTCATATAACAATGAATAAGAAATCATATAATTATCGATCTGAAAGGGTATTTAAGGAGTTCCAAATTCAAATATAGTAGCCTATTTGAAATGTACGTTACTGTCGCCGAGGCAAATATTATTCTGAATCCCCTCTGTGTAATATATAGTTTTGATTCTCAAGTAAAAGTTTTCTGATAAGTTAAACCTTGTATCATATATATTTCTTTTCATAACAATAAATACATTTTCTCTGTGATGATAAATAATTTTTATTGTGCAATGTCCCTGTCGCTTAATTCTATTTCAACCACATTACAAGCAAACACAAAGATTATACATCTGATAGTTTTGTTCTCCTTTATTTATTGATGGGCTTAATTTGAAATTTCAAAGGATTAATTACTCCTACTTAGATAATGTAACATGAAATTGAACAACTTGAGCAACTTTTATTAATATGTTTACGGAATTAAAGACATTTTCAATCGTAGAGATAAGAAAGAAATGTACGTTACCTATATTCTTCCATTAAGAATACATATTAAGTAGAAAATATGAGACGACTCTGAATAAGCAACCCCTTGTATCCTGTAAACTGGCAAAGACGTTTTGCTTAACACAATTAAAAATTATTTTTTACATGAAAAATGATCATTTGAAATGTACGTGACTGAAATGTACGTTACCATGAAATTCGAATTAAGTGAATCTCGCACGAATTTTCATTTATTCTAATACTTTCACACACTCGAATGTGTACACAAAGGAAAGTCTCAAAGGTTGGAGGTCGGCTAAATCCCAAAATTAATGAAAAGAAACGTCTCTGCTGAGGAAAAAAATATATTAAGGTCAATTATTATGTAATATAATTTTGATACCTGGTATATATTTCTGAATACGAAACCTGTATGATGCATTTCTTATGATATGCAGGTTTAAATAGTAT